CTGCAAAATAATCCCACTAAGAGCCAATTAAATTACTATAAAACATTCCTTCATCTGTAAAACATTTTTCCTTTGAACTCAAAATTTAAAGTAATGTCATTTTTGATAAGCAGCTCTACCACCCGTCTCTGATACCGTAAATCATTTAGTGCAGCCACTGCGTCTAGTTCTGGAGAGCTCATAAGGGTTGGGCCAAAAACAGTTCCAAGGTTCTCTGGGTTCATAAGGTTCTCCTTCTTGCGGAGGGTCGCTCTCTCCAGCCAGATGCGCCGGGAGGTACCGGAGGGTTTCGCAGTGAGCAGGCGGCAGTAGCTTCAGTGCATCATGGAGGGTTTCTAACTGCTCATCGGGATTCATAATTTTGGCCGACTCTATAGAATTAGGGTAGGCGTCATATGTTATGAGCGGAATTGGTAAATCCCTGAAGTACAGTTTCAGTGCACCAGTGACAATGTTGATATATCTTCATTGTTCACAGAAATATCTTTCTCATCATCTCTGTCAAAAGCCATCATGACGTCTTCAATTAGGTCACTAAATCCTGATACTCGGTACAGCCCTTCAGAATTAAGGCCTCTAGATTCAATTTCCCTGATGCACATGTCCACCACCATTGGCTGCTTAGTGATAAGAACTTTTACAAGTGTTGTGAGGTCATAGATGTATACTTTTTTGACATGTTTCGAGTCTGGCTCACAGTCATTGGGACCATCTTGGAACACTGCTTATGAACATTCAGACCACCATCCGCACACTTCACTCCCTGAGCAGTGAGGCCCCACGTGAAGTGGGCGCAGTACTCACACCAGTGGTGGCCCTCTGAATGTGTGGATCTTGAAATTGTGAACCTTTCCATATTTGGAATTGGCCTATTTTCTTTCAGAGTTGCTCTTCTAACAAGTGATGTCAATTTAAAGCCTAAGTGTAGGTGGGTCCCTGGCTGACGCTGGCTTTTGAATGAGGTGGCTCCTTCGGCCACACTCCACAGCTGGTCTGCTACCTCTCGGGAGGTCATGCTATGAAGCTCCCTCCCATAATACTTTGGTCTGTGTTCGACCTCATTAGAAGAGGTGACTCTTTGAGGACGAGGGGCTTCCTGTTGCAGCTGACACGAGTGAGATTTCCAAACAGGAGGGCTATACTCATCCGCATCAAACAGGGTCAGGGCCACTGTGCAGGCGCTGGCCCACCGCTGATCACCACCTGGGCCAGACACGCTCACACCGCGCAGGGAGCTGGAGCCAAAGGGCGTGGCGGGGCTGCGGGCATGGGGAGGCAGGAGGGCGGAGACTCGGAGCTGCAGTATGGGCGGAGGGAGAGGTGGCCTTGGCAGAGCCCCGGTGGGGCAGTTCGTCTCCCACAGGATCTGCTGCGGCGCCTCCTCTCTGTTTTTATAATGCAGATTTACTTCTGCTGTTCCTATAGAACTGTCATCCTGCACTTCTCAGAACACATGAGCTTTGTCAGCTTCTCATGTTTCTGGTAGTGATTTTAACCAAAAAACCAAGACTCATCTACTAATAGGCAATTACAGTTTGAAGAAGTGTCACTTGAAGGGTGACATTTAAATCTCCAGCCATTGACTTGGTCATTGGTTTTACCGTTTTTCTCTCACAAAAAATTCCAAATACCTTAGCAAGGAATAAAAACACCCAAACCAAATGTGGTGCTTGCCAAGTCCCCCAGTCTCATCTCTTGCTGCTTACCCTACGCGGCCCATTTGCTCTAGCATGTTGCCCAACTGGACTACTTACAGCCCCACAAATGTTCTTCCTCACGTCTAGCTCTTTGTAGGCGCTTCTTCCCTCTATACCTGGCACACCTTTCCCTTGTCCTGCAGTTATCAGTTTACATGTCACCTTCACCAAACGGCCGACAACACTGACATAAAATTGGGATGTCCCCTCTGTGTGTTCTAATAGCACCCTGTTTTATACTTGTCATGGTATACCTGACTGTATGGGAACTGCCTGTCTGTTTTTCTGGTTTACAGCATATGGTTGTCACAGTGAACTATGTCATCTTTATATTGTATAGTT